CAGTAAGAGAACTAAATAAGAGGAATATTTTTTACTTAAGTACCAATAAGAAATGTGATCTAAAGATGGATAAAACAAAACAAAACAAAACAAAAAAAATACAGAATAGTATGTATGATATGATAGAATTTGTTGTTGTTATGTGCCATTTAGTCACTTGCAACTCATAGCGACTCTATGTACAAGAGCCCTAAACCCTGCTCTACCCTGTGTCAATCTCACTGTCTTCAACACACTGACTCTACTACCCCAATCACTGAATCGATCCATCTCATTGAGGGTCTTACTTTCTTGAGCTGTCCCTCCACCCTCCCAAAGATGATGTCCCTCTCCAAGGACTGGTCCCTTCTTGCAACATGCCCAAAGTATGTCAGATTAAGTCTCAGAATCCTTGTCTCTAATGAGCAGCCCAGTTTCACCTTCTCCAGGACAAACTTGTTTATTATCCTAGCAGTCCATGGTATAGTCAACATTCTTCTCCAGCACCACAGCTCAAAGGCTTCAATTCTCTTTATATCATCCTGAGTCACTGTCCAGCTCTCTGATGTATAGCATGCAATTGCAAAGATGATAGCCTGGATCAGGCCACACCTTAGTCTCCAGTATGATGTCATTGCTCTTCAGTACACTGGTGAGGTCCCTGACAGCTGACTTTCCCAACCTAGTTGTCTCTTGATTTTCTGGCTGTTGGTACCAAAGTGTTGATCGTGGAACCAAGCAAACTAAAAACTCAACAATCTCGATCCCTTCACCATCCATACTGATGCTGCCAATTGGCCCAGGGGTGAGGTTCTTTGTTTTCCTGATGTTGAGCTTCAATCCATATTGAAGGCTGCAGTCCTTGACCTTCAACAGCAAGCACTCCAGGTCCTCCTCAGTTTCAGCAAGCAGGGTTGTGTCATCTTCATAATGCATGTTGTTGATTAATTTTCCTCCAATCCAGATGCCACATTCCTCCTTAGACAGCCCAGTGTCCCGGATGATCTGTTCTGCATACAGATTGAAAAGGTATGGAGATAAAATACATCCCTGGCGGATACCCTTCCTGATGTTGAACCATGCAGTGTCTCCTTGCTCTGTTCTGATGACTGCCTCTTGGTTCAAGTATAGGTTTCACATAAACACAATCAAATGTTCTGGGATTCTGATTCTTCTTAGAGTTGGCCACAGTTTGTTGTGATCCACACAGTCAAATGCCTTTGCATTGTCAATGAAACACAGATAGACATTCCTCTGGTACTCTCTACTTTCTGTCAAGATCCATCTAACATTAGATAGAATATCCCTAGTACCACAGCCTCTTCTAAACCCAGACTGTACATTTGGCCATTCTTTGTTGACATGTTGTTCCTTTCATTTTTGTATAATTTTCAGCAGTATTTTGCATGCATGTGATATTAATAATATTGTGTGATAATCTGATACAATTTACACATGTTTTAAAAAGAAAGTTATTCACTGTACCATAGCTTTGGATGCATAAAATATTTTAGAAAGAATAACTCCAGGAGGAGCATGGGCACTAAAGGTGATGCTGAGAGGAGAGGTAAGCCTTTTTCACTATATCTAAACATTGCTTGCTGAAACTGAGGAGGACCGGAAGCATTTAATGCAGAAGGTCAAGGACTACAGCCTTCCATATGGATTGAAGCTCAACATCAAGAAAACAAAGATTCCCACCCCTGGGCCCATTGGCAGCATCATTATGGATGGTGAAGAGATCGAGATTATTAACAGCTTTAGTTTGCTTGGCTCCACAATCAACACTCTTGGTACCAGCAGCTATGAAATGAAAAGACAAATTGCATTGGGAACGTCTGCTGTCAGAGACCTCTCCAAAGTACTGAAGGGCAATGATATCAGTCGGGAGATGAAGGAGTGCCTGATCCAGGCCAGAGTCTTTGCAATTACTTGCTATGCATCAGAGAGCTGGACAGTGACTATGAATGATAGCAAGAGAATTGATGCCTTTGTGCTGTGATGCTGGAGAAGAGTATTGAATATACCATGGAGAATGAACAGGTTTATCCTGGAGAGGGTGAGATCAGACTGCTCCTTTGAGGCAAGATTCTGAAGCTTCATCGACATACTTTGGATATGTTGCAAGGAGGGACCAATCCTTGGAGAAGGAAATCATGCTTGGGAGGGTGGAGGGACAGCACAAAAGAGGAAGACCCTTGATGAGATGGATTGATTCAATGACTAGGCTAGCAGGGTTAGGTGTGTCAGAGACAATAAGATTGGCACATGATAGATAAGGGTTTAGAGCTGTTGTACATAGGGTTTATGAGTTGCAGGCGACTCAACAGCAAATAACAACAACAACAACAAGCCCTCTCCTAATCCAAAGTCTAATGGAGGAGGAACACACCCTGAAATCAGATCACCTGAACTGCTAGCTCAACTTTACAAAATAATAATAAACTAATTCTGAAAAATAAATATATTCAAAATATTCACAAATTGAACATTACCATTTACATATCTAGCATTAAAACAAATTCTTTATTTAATCAGTGAATTTATTCTCACCTAACTTAGGAGGAACTGGAAAGCTATGCTGAAAGAACTCAGTCTCACAAGGATGCAAATTGTATAAAACCATTTTTGTAGAATGAGTATAAGAATACAAGGGGGGGGAAGCAGAGGGATAAGGATGTGCAGGGGGAGACCGGATTAACCATGGAGTTGTACAAATTGATGGGTGGAGGGTGAGGGAAATTGGAAGAATCTGTTCTAGAAAACAATGTATTCTATTTTGTAAATAGAGTAGTATCATAAAAAAATAGATATTAAAAATTCTGCATAGGAAATAACTGTAAAAAAGAATTTAAATAAATTATTTTATTCTCAATTTTAGGAACCTGCATAGCTAATTGACTATGACTTGATCATATGGTTGCTATGAATCATTCTTGATGGCACCTAACAGCAACATACTAACTAACTAAATAAAGAGTATTCTCTTGATTAAGAAAAAAAAATTTCTATCAAAGTTTGTAATACAATGACTTTCTTTGAATAGCTAAATTTTGGAGAGTACTAGCTTAACAATAATTCATTCCTCTTATGGTGTAATGTACTGCTCTACTTTATTTCCTGAATTAATGAAATACAGAAACACAAGAGAAAGGACATTTTTTTATTTTATTTTTTTATTATTTCAATTTAGTTTGTTTATTTTTCATTTCAATGAACATCTACAGAGATTTTGGAATTCCATTCATTCATTGC